GTATGGAATGGTGACGGATTTCCTGCTGGCTCCATACCCTTCCCGATGCCCACGAGCTGGTGCTCCCCTGCTTACAGCTCTGGAGTCTGACATTACGAGTGTTGGATTTGACTCCTGGCTTGTCTGGCTATGTGGTCTTAGACAAGTCTCTTCCCTCCTTTGTGAAAGGAAGCAGTCATAACCCCTACCTCCTAGCATGGTACTTGTAAAGCCCTCAGTGCAGGTCTGGGCACTTGGCAACCAAACCAATCGCACTGCCATCAAGTTGATGCCCACTTACAGCGACCCTATAGGTCAGGGTAGAACTGCCCCTGTGAGTTTCCAGGACTGCAGCTCCTGGAAGGGAGGGTGGAAAGCCCTGTCTGTCTCCCGCAGAGCAGCTGGTGGTTTTGAACTGCTGACCTTGTGGAAAACATAACCACCAGGGCTCTTGGCAACCACATCAGAGCGAAGACCAGACTCTTCAGGCCGCCTCCCTTCAGCCACTCTCTCTGCGGTCCTCACCCCGGCTGTCAGCTCCTGTCCACGCATGGCGAGCCCATGTCTGTTGGCATAGAAGTCTGCTCCATAGGGTTTTCCAGGCTGCCACCTTTTGGAAGCAGATCACCAGGCCACTCTGGGTGGGTTTCAACTGCCAGCCTCTGGGCCAGTGGTCAAGTCTTCATCAGCTTGAGAATCTCAGGGGGACCTTCCTCCAGCCAGAAGCTCCTCACCGCTGGCTCTGTACGCATGCTTCCACTAGTTTCACCCGAATTGAGTGGGCCGCCTTCCTCCTTGCGGGGGCGCTGACAGAGCAGACGCAGGAGCGTGGTGCTGGGTGCTCTGTGGAGAAAAGAACGCCAGAAGGGACAAGGGGATGTGGGGTGCTGAAAGGGGAGAGAGTGGCTAACAACGTCGCCTTGTTGAAAACAGACGCAGCAGAACACACGCACCAAGTCAGTAGTTTCGCATGCACAGTCAAGGCAATTCCATTCGTCACTTGTGTGTTCTCACCCTCCTTGCTCCGAATCGTGTCTCCTCCGGGAGCCCACACTTGCCGACCCAGCACTTCTAGTGAAGGAGAAGGTGACATCTGAGTAAAGAGCTGCAGGAAGAGAGGGAAGGGGGCTCTTCATCCCTGGGGGAAAAGCCTGTGGGGAGAGGGATTAGTGGATGCCAAGGCTGAAGGAGGGAGTTAGAAATAGGCCAGGAAGGCGGTGAGTGGAGTAGAGTGTGGCCAGTGGGAAGAGTAGAGCGGGCAGGAGGCTGAGAGGTGCCAGCACCGGGGGTGGGGGTTGGCTTTTGCTCTGAGTAAGATGGGAAGCTTTGTGAGTGGATTGGGGGTGGGGGCAGGGTGTTGAGTAGATCTACCACCAGTTGCCGTGGACCCAGCTCCGACTCACAGGGACTGCACGTGTGTCAAGAGTTGTCAGTGGCTGGTTTTTCAGAAGCAGATCACCAGGCCTTTCTTCCAAGGTCCCTCTGGTTGTATTTTGAACTCCTAACCTTTCAGTTAACAGCCCAGCACATGGACGCCGAGGAGAGAAGGTGACTCCTGTTTGGGGAACCTCCACTCTGGCTGTTGATGGAGGACAGGCTGTGGACAGGGGACAGAGAGACAAAACAAAGGCAAAAGCAGGGAGTCCAAGTGTGAGGTGTGGAGCTGGGGTGAGGGACAGGGCAGGCTGATTAGAAGGGGTTGGGTGGAGCCCCTAGAATTGCCCGTCTGGCTGGATGGGGGTGTCACAGAGAGGGTTAAAGGTGACCCTGAGGCCTAGCTGACAGAAGAACGGAGTTGCTGCCCACTGAGATGGAGAGAGTTGCAGGGAGCTAGCTCACGTGTGGACACATTACAAGAGTATGCCACGTGAACAGCAGAGAAACTTGCCAGAGGCTGGGGACTGGCTGGGGCTTTCTAAACATGGGAACCCCAGCAGGGAGATGGTGCCTCAACTGTTGAGATTGCTCACGGGCTGTAGGTAGAAGAGGAAGAAGAGGTGGGCGCAAAGCCCCCATGGAGACAGACGGGGCAGTTGGAGAGGAGGGAGGAGAACCGGGGGAGACAGGGCTCCTGAGAACCAAGAAAGGGGTTGTTCAGAGGAGAGTGACCTCGGACAACTGAGCCAGCCAGCAGGTTCCAACAGAGCAGTGGGCTTAGCCATATGGGGGTCCCTGGGTGACCTGGTGAAGACAGGCTTCTTGTAGTGATGGGGAAGCAAAACCCTAACTGGAGAGGGTCTGGGAGAGATGGTGGGTTTACCATCACTGCGGCCGTGACTGGTTTGTGGATACAAGAGGCCTGGAGCAGGAGGTGTTAGGGAACAGGATGTGGTCAGTGACCACCCCACACGTTAATGATGAGATAGAAGAAGAGATGCTTTAAAAGGCACAGCCAGCTCTGGTGGGTGCCAGCCATACCCCAGGGTCCCACATACCGGGCTTTATTGAGTGGAGCCTGGAAGTTCAAGTTTGCCCTGGACTGTCTCTGCTCAGATGCTTAGCCTGAGACTGTCTGATGACCGCTGGTCAGGTCCACACTCAGGGACTTTCTGCCTGACCACCGGCTTGGACCCTTCAGGAATGTCAATGTCATGAAACAGGTAAAAAAAGCCTGAGAACTCGTTCTTCCAGGAACAGAGAGGGGCCTCCAGGGGCCGCCCGTGATGCTTCTTGGGTCCTGCAGGAGGAAGACACATCTACAAAGATCACTACATAGGTGACTGGAGGAATGTTCAGACGAATTACCCAGTGCTATAAACCAACCCGCAGTCAACGCTCACGGAAGCAGCGCTCAAGAGCTCAAAAGATGCTACTTTGAGCCAAGCCATGGTCTTTGTAGTCGCCTCTTAGGCTTGTGAAAGTTGGACCTTGAATAAGGAAGACAGAAGAAGAATCGATCCATTTAAACTGCAGTGCCAGTGAAGAATCTGGAAAGGACCACAGACCGCCAGAAGAACAAACATCTGTTTTAGAAGAGGTACAGCCAGAATGCTCCTGCGAATCGAGCCTGGTGAGTGAGACTGTCTCTGTACTTTGGACGTGTTGTCCGGGGAGACCAGGCCCTGGAGAAGAACACCGTGCTTGGTAAAGGAGAGAGGCAGCTGAGAAGTGGAAGACCCTGACCACATGAAGTGACAGTGGCCCCAACCGTGGACTCCAACCAGCCACAGTTTGAGGGTGGCACAAGACCGGGCGGTGTGTTGGACACAGGGTTGCTATGAGTCCGAATCAACTCGATGACACTGAGCAACGTAAACCCAACCAGTTAACGACAACTGCAATTCACAGGACCTCCACGTGCCTCCCAGGGTTTTAAGAGCTGATTTCTCGGAGGGAAGTCACTTCCACCTTTTGGTTAGCCATTGAGTCCTTTAGCAGTTTGAACAGCTCAGGGGCTTCTCATCCTATATGGTTATGAAATTTAGGGAGTGGGGTCCTTACGCTGAGATCCTTTAAGAGAGTGACTTTGCTGAAATAGTTAGGGGGGCGTGTCATGATTCCAGAGAGCCTGTGGTGGCGCTATGGCTGCTAACCTCAGGCTGGAGGGTTCAAACCCATGGACTTCTCGGAGGGAAAAAATGAGCCTATTTGTTTCCATCAAGAGTTACAGCTTCAGGAACCCTGTACACGGTTGCTATGGGTTAGCATCGACTGGATGCCCTGGTTTAGTTGGGATTTCCTTCCCAGGGGAAGGAAGAGGGAAAGAGAGAGTGAGGGGCAAAGCCGATGTGGCCACGGGTTCATAGCCGGCGGACGGAGGGGGGGAGCAGGTGGATGGTGTTGCGGTATTCTGTACTTTCTGAAGGTTGTAAATATCTCCACACCAAAAATTGGGGGGAAGAAAATAGAGCAAATGGGAGGGGAGAAATAGGCAGTAGTATAGGGACCTGCTTGAAGGCGTTTGGTTTAAAGGGAGCTATCGCTGGAGGGGGTGGTGGTGGTTGGGGTAGAATCCTCCCTTTCCATGCAGGAGACCTGGTTTTGATTCCTGGCCAGTGCACTTTGTGTGAAGTTACCACCCATCTGTCATGGAGGCTTGTACATTGCTAGCGTGCTGAACAGGCTTCAGTGGGCCTGGCAGACTAAGGCAGAGCAGGAAGAAAGGCCTGGTGATCTTATGAAAATCAGCCAGGGAAAACACTGTGGATCACACCATCCACGACTGATCCTGGGGTGGTGGCAGCGGTTGGGCAGCATGTCGCTTCATTCTGCAGGGGTCACTGTGAGCCAGGGCCCCCACAGCACCTAACGACACCAGCACAGATGGAGGGTGGGGGCAGGCCAGGACTCGGCCTGGCTTTTCTCAGACGGATAAATAGCAGCATATTGGAATTCTGGTGGGAGGACAGACTGAAGGGGGAGGAGCAGCAGGTGGAAGGAAGTTAGCTCATTGGCAGCCCCCATGCCCCCTGGAGCAGGTGGGTGGCTGAGCTCACCTCTCCTGATGGCTTCTGGTTCCCAAAGAGAATCGGAAACAAAATAACTGTCAGGGAGTGACTTTGGGGGAGGGCTTCAGGGGTGGGGGTATGAACACCACCACCCCCAGGAGAGTGGGGGAGAGGCTGGACAAAAGTCCAGCCCAGTGTGTAAGGAGCATGTCATCCCCCACCCCACCCCCACCACCCTGGGGCCAGAGCACAGACCCAGAACCTTTGCTTGACTCCTCCCTAGTCCCTTTGTGGGACCCAAAAGGAGGCCACGGGCTGAGGCTGCCCACAGACCTGAGGGCAGAGAGTCTTCAGGAAGGTGCTCGGGGTGTTCCAGTGCACCCCAAGCTGGCAGGACCGGATGACAGCCCATGTCCTTTTCTGGCCCCCCTGGCTTTTGCTTCCAGTCTCGCCCTGCAGGTTGGGGCCTCAAAGCCAAACTGCTTTCTTCAGCACCCCCGGGGGTGGGTCAGGGGGTCAGGCAGAGAGTAGGTGCCAAGGAACTCATGGGTGTTAGGCACCCTGTGGGCAGTGGTGAGTGGGCCGTGAAGAGCAGCCCCACAGGTGATCAGGAGTCCTGTGTGCCTACCACAGGTATGCCACCACGCCGACTGCCAGCAGCTGCACCTCCGCGGGCCACTCAACCTCTGCGAAGCCTGTGACAGCAAGTTCCACAGCGCCATGCATTACGACGGGCACGTCCGCTTCGACCTGCCGCCCCAAGGTGAGCATGGGGGCCCATCTCCCTGAGAGCCCTGGGCCTTCAAAGAGAAGATAGATGTAAACCCGAGGAGACCGCGGTTTCTTTGGGTCCACCCTTTGTTCATCACTCCACTGAGCAAGCTTCCCTACCAGGGCACTGTGCCCATGTGGCTGCTGCCCCCTCATTCCAACACGAGGAAGGGCCCCTGTCCCCCACTCTGCTGAGCCCACGCAAGGGATAGGCCCAGTCATGGCCACTTCTGGGCACATGCTCTGAGCTGAGGCGGTGCCAAGGTGGTGGTGGCCAGTCAGGAGCGCAGAAGGAACAAGATCCCCTTGTGCTGAAGAGAAACCTGGCCCACTGCCAGCTGTCTGTGTGGGATGGCAGCCCCCCTTCTGACCTTCTACATTCAGCAGAGGGACAAGGGACTTCCCTCTCCTCAAGAGCCTGGGAGGGTGGGGGAGCTTGCTGCTGTGAGGGAGTGGCGACCGTGGGGTTTGGTCCTTGGCCCCATCCCCAGTAGGACTCAGCGATCCTCAGTTTGTAAATGGATAGACCGAGGCCAAGGTGGAAGTTGTATCGAAGTGGAGTGTCACTTGTCATCAGGTCCCTTGTGCCTTTTGGGGTCTCAGGTGGTAGAGGCTAAGCCTTGACTGAGCTCCTCCTAGAACTGTGGTGGGGAGTGGTCGAAGGAGTGAGAGGCAGTGGGCCCTGGAGAAGGCTAAGGGCTGGGCGGGGGGGACAGTGAGGAGAAGGACAACCCCACGCCTCCCAACACTCTTTCCTCCTCAGGTTCAGTCCTGGCCCGGAACGTGTCCACCCGGTCCTGCCCCCCACGCACAGGCCCCGTGGCGGACTTGGAGGAGGAGGAGGAAGGCTGCACAGATGGCAAAGGGTAGGTGAGGAAGCAGGTAGACAGAGGAGATCACCTGGGGCTAGGGGTGGGAGCCCAAGCTGGGTCTCAGAGCAGAGATTCGTGGACCAGGTACTCTGGTCCCTTCACCATATGTCTCTACCCCACCGAGCTGCTTCCCTGTCTCCCCCAGGCCTGGGCAGCCTTCAGATCAGATCCCATCCTACGACTAGGGCCCACTGGATGTGACCCTCATGTTGTCCACCAGAGGGCGCACAGCCTACTGGGCCAGCGCTGGCCTGAACAAAATGCCCAAACTTGCTGCCACTCTAGGGAACCCCTTTGGGTTTCCGAGATGATAACTGTTGCAAGCCCAGTCTTGCTTCCTGGGAGCTGCTGCTGCTTTTGAACTGCGGACCATGCTGATCGCAGCCCAACACCTAACCACTACACCACCAGGGCTCCTTGGGCCTGCCTGAAGGCCCCTGAGTTGCTGGGTAATTTGAGATCAGCCCCCATTTGCAGCCCTTGTGGTGAGGGCCCATGCTCCCACCTCTGTGCCCCTGGCTTTCCTGCAGAGACCGGAAGAGCACAGGCCTAAGACTCTCAAAGAAGAAGGCGAGGAGGAGACACACAGATGTAAGAGGCCCCTGGGGTGTGGGGGTGGGATTTCTCCAGACCACTCCTGCTGCCCCAGGCCCTGTCCTATCCCAGAGCTGTGGGGGTGGGGCTTTTCCAGACCACTCACTCCTGCTGCCCCGGGCCCTGTCCTTCCCCCCACCCCCCAGTCTGGGTCTCTGCCCCAAACTCCAGGATGAGGGCAGGGGTCCACTCCCCACCCTTCCTTGCTCCCAGTATTGCCTATCCCAGCCAGGTGGGGTTGTTAGGGCATCTCCGCACAGGAGGGGGCTGGGGTGAACCTGGGTATCAGAGTGGGATGAGTGGGGGACCCTGAAGAGTCCAGTACACGTATGTCCTCCCAGGACCCAAGCAAGGAGTGCTTCACCCTGAAATTCGACCTGAATGTGGATATCGAGACTGAGATTGTACCAGCCATGAAGAAGAAGTCTCTGGGGTAGGGCCTTGGGGCGCAGAAAGCAGGGCTGGCGCTCCAGGTCTCCACATGGTTGGCTTTGTCTGTGGTGACCTGTGCGTGAGTGAGTCCCCACACCCGTGTGCAGACCCGTGTGGTGTGATGGGTCTGTGCACCTGTGAGTTCCAATCATGTGTGCGAGGCCCAGAGCTGGGCAGGGCAGGTGGGCCGTGGTGTCTCCCCTGCTGGCAGACCAGGTCAAGGCGTGAGCATGTGTGTCGATGTGTGTGAGAAGGTACATGTGCCTCTGGGAGCAGTGGGGAGGCCTGTGTGTGTACCTGTGGGTGACTCCAAAGGCTTCCCACCCCACCCCACAGGAAGGGAGATGCCACCGGGTGGGCAGCCTGGCTGCAGGGGAATCATACCTCTCATGTCCACACTTCCTGTGCAGGGAGGTACTGCTGCCTGTGTTTGAAAGGAAGGGCATCACACTGGGCAAAGTGGACATCTACCTGGACCAGTCCAACACACCCCTCTCCCTCACCTTTGAGGCCTACAGGTTTGGAGGACACTACCTGCGGGTCAAAGGTGAGCGGCAGGCTCCCAGGCTGGGCAGGAGATGGGGCCTGGCTGGGCCAGGGATGGGAGCTTCTCTCTGGGCTCAGGTGGCCATTGTCCAGGGCCCTCAGCAGCTCATTACCATACAGGTGTCCCTCTGCCAGGCTGGGTGACCAATGCTGGCAGGGTGGTGCTGCAGGGGCAGGGTGGCGGAGCACTGAGTGGATTCTCAGGAGAGCCAGCCTGGGACCTGGACCTGGTCCAGGCCCTGAGGGACCTCTCCTTATCCCCAAACACCACCTAGCCAAGCCCGGAGATGAAGGCAAGGTGGAGCAGGGAGTGAAGGATTCCAAGTCGCTGAGTCTGCCGATCCTGCGGCCAGCTGGGGCCGGGGCCCCCACCCTGGAGCGCGCAGACCCTCAGAGCCGCCGGGAGAGCCTCGACATCTTGGTGGGTGAGCAAGCGTCTGAGGAGAAGTCACCCTAGGCGCTCCCTTCTCCCTCTTGGCCTATAATTTCCTCTTCATGGTAGCGAGAATGTACTGTGAGTGTAGACCTGTCCAAGAGGGTGGGTCCTGCCTCCAGGAGTCTCCCGGTGACCAAGGAGTCTCTGTGTGTGGCTGGAAGACTTGGGGGACCTTGTGCATGTGTGTCGGGGGCTGTGTGTGTGTCCCTGGCCCACTTTGGGAGCTGGGTTAGTGAGTGCATCTCTGTGTTTCTCCCCAACCCCTACAAGCTGGTGGCCAGGTGGCTGGGGGACAGTGGTCCAGGTGCAGCTGTGTGTGGATCTTCCAGCCCCTAGAGCATGGTGGGTCCCAGAAGAGGTGGCATCCAGGGTGAGGGTACAGAGACCTTCTGTGTCCCAGGCTTATGCTCCTAGGGGCTCACTATGGGGCCAAGGCATGCTGTCTTTGACACACCATTCCTTGACAGGCCCCTGGCCGACGCCGCAAGAACATGCTGGAGTTCCTGGGGGAGGTGAGCATCCCTGGGCAGGAGCCGGCCACCCCCTCTAGCTGCTCCCTGCCCAGCGGCAGCAGCGGTGGCCCAAGCAATACCGGTGGAGAGAGCTGGAAGAACCGGGCCGCCAGCCGCTTCAGTGGCTTCTTCAGCTCGGGCCCCAGTGCCAGTGCCTTTGGTCGGGTATGTGGCCCCATGAGCCCTGGGCGAGGGGAGCTGGCTGCTCAAGGGGCTGACTGAGCCCTGACCCGGTGCTGGACCCTGACTCTGACCCTGCAGGAGGTGGACAAGATGGAGCAATTAGGAGGCAAGCTGCAGGCCTATAGCCTCTTTGGGCTGCCCCGGCTGCCCCGGCGACTGCGATTCGACCACGACTCATGGGAGGAGGAGGACGAGGATGAGGAGGAGGACGAGGACGACACCTGCCTGAAGCTGGAGGACAGTTGGCGGGAACTCATTGATGGGCATGAGGTGGGCACAGCCCTGGGCCTGGCAGCCTCCCCATCCCCCACTTCATGGGGCCTCTCAAGGGCTGTGACGGAGTATCCCACCGGATGGGGTGCTCTATTGGGGGCATTGAGGCCCCAAGAGGTCCACTCTGTCACTTGGCTATTTTAGCAGCTGAGGCAGGCCTTGGCTGAGGATTTGAATGATGTGGAGCAGCAGTTCTCAACCTGTGGGTCGCGACCCCATAGGGGGTCGAACGACCCTTTCACAGAGGTCACCTGATTTATAATAGTCACGAAATTACAGTGATGAAGTAACAATGAAAATAATTTTATGGTTGGGGGTCACCACAACATAAGGAACTGTATGAAAGGGTTGAGGCATTTGGAAGGTTGAGAACCACTGAATTGTGGAGGGTGGGCTCACCTTTCCTGGTCATCCACACCTGGTCAATGAGTTACATGTTGCACACACACACACACACACACACACACACACGGCCCGGCACTCTGGGGCTCGTGGCTGACCCCCACTTTGCTCCCTGTAGAAGCTGACACGGAGGCAGTGCCACCAGCAGGAGGCGGTGTGGGAGCTCCTGCACACAGAGGCCTCCTACATCAAGAAGCTGAGGGTGATCACCAACGTGAGTGTGGGCTGGGTCCCGGCCCAGCCCTTTTCAGAAGGAGCAGGTGCCACACAACACAAAAGGGGAGCAGGAAAGTCGGAGAGGAGCTGCTCCCCAGGAAGCCGTCTCCCACAGGCCGGGCAACTGGGAGGGGTTTCCACAAGCAGGCTGGGTGGGGCTGACCTCTCTGAACACCTGCTCCTGCCAGGTGCTCGGAGCCCACACCCTAGCTTGAGACAGTAGGAGTGCAGATGCGGGCACTGGGCAGAGGGGTGCAGCAGCCTGGGCCGGGCAATTCTAGGGAGACCTGTTGAAAGAAGCACTGAGCTAGGGCAGAGATGAAGGAGAGATGCCATGGAGTCGAGGGGCTGGGCAGGTTGGTCCCAGGTGGGTCAGTGGGGCGGGGATCCTGTGGTCAGGAGCCTTCTCCAGCTTCTCGGACTGGGACCCAAATAGCTGCTGCAAGTCCCTCGGACAGGGGGTATGGGGCGGGGCAGGGTAGGGGGGGTACTCCTCCTACCAAAGCGTCTTCTGCCTTCACAGCTGTTCCTGTGCTGCCTTCTGAACCTGCAAGAGTCGGGGCTGCTGTGTGAGGTGCGGCGTGGGCCGGGGGCGGGGCCTGGTGAAGGTGGGGCTGAGGGGCGGGGCCTGATCATTCCTAAACCAAGAGGCTGGGAAGAGCCCGGCCAGAGGGGTCCCCCTACCAGATGCACAGCCTGCCAGAGGGGCGGACCAAGCGGACCTCTTGCCGCGCACAGGTGGAGGCGGAGCGATTGTTCAGCAACATCCCCGAGATCGCGCGGCTGCACCGCGGGCTGTGGGGCAGCGTGATGGCGCCGGTGTTGGAGAAGGCTCGGCGCACGCGGGCACTCCTGCAGCCCGGGGACTTCCTCAAGGGCTTCAAGATGGTACGGCACGGCGGGGCACCGGCGGGCTCACGGAGGCAGGGCTGCGTGCCCAAAAGACGCCCATCCTTTCCCATCTGTGCACACCTCCCCGTGGCCAGGGGGCCCGCACGACCATTAGTGGTCAAAGGCAGGTTGGCGAGCTGCTCGCCCACGTGGGATCCCTCCCTGGCCGCCGACTGCTACCTACCGGGCTGCGGGCACGCCTTTCACTGAGCCAGTTTCCGCTGGTCGGAAACAGGGCTCATAAGCCTGCCACCTGCGGGGTGGTCGCGAAGACGCAGTGAGAACCGGCCTGTGGGACGCGTAGTAACAGTGACTTTCGTTCTCCCCACTCCGCCCTGGCCAGTTCGGCTCCCTCTTCAGGCCCTACATCCGCTACTGCATGGAGGAGGAGGGCTGCATGGAGTACATGCGGGGGCTGCTCCGGGACAACGACCTTTTCCGCGCCTATGTCACGGTGAAGGGGCCGGGCTGGGTGGTAGGGAGAGGCAATTTGGCCCCCTGGGCCGCAGATGTGCCCGAGGTTGGCAGGGGCGGGGTCTGGGCCCCAGGGCTGGGGCTGGGTGGTGGGCGGGCCTACCTGAGCCCCGCCCCTGATGCCTCACTGCAGTGGGCCGAGAAACACCAGCAGTGCCAGCGGCTGAAGCTGAGCGACATGCTGGCCAAGCCCCACCAGCGACTCACCAAGTACCCTTTGCTGCTCAAGTCCCTGCTGCGAAAGACGGATGAACCGCGTGCCAAGGAAGCCATCGTCACCATGGTAACATTGGGGGGTGGGCTGCCCCGCAGCTCCACCGACCACCGTGGACTCCTTCCCAATCCTGGGTCTGGACCCCTTGCCAATCCCGAGCCTGAACGCTGTCTCCCGCCGCCAGATCAGCTCAGTGGAGCGCTTCATCCACCACGTGAACGCGTGCATGCGGCAGCGGCAGGAGCGGCAGCGGCTGGCAGCCGTGGTGAGCCGCATCGATGCCTATGAGGTCGTGGAAGGCAGCAACGACGAAGTGGATAAGGTGCCGCTCG